CCAGATATGCATCATCTCTTGCTGAAGAAACCTTCGATCCGTGGCGTGTTTATGGTTAGCACGTTCCTGGCCTTTGGGTTTGGACCCACGGTCAAAACCGTGGGGCGCGGACGCATTAGATGTGGCGCAGTGCACGAACAGGTCTTGTGTCAAACAGAACGAGTTCCGCATTGCTAGTAAAGGTAAGGAGGGGTCAAAGGCGTTGAAGCTTAGTGTTCCGCCAAGGTTTGGGGGGGGGAGGGGGTGGGGGGAGGATGGTGCGGGGAGTGATGGGGAACGGGAGGGGGATGATGATGATGATCCCGATCGGGTGGGGTTGTTTGGGGATGCCGCGAGGGGGTATGTGCCGCTTTATATGATGGAGCAGACGGACGCGTATGTGGCACCGCCTGTGGTGGGGGGCAGGGTGCCCAAGAACAAGTTTGGGAATCTCGACCTGTATGTGCCGAGCATGGTGCCTCGGGGCGGCGTGCATGTCAGGCATGAGAGGGCTGCGCAGGCGGCGTTTATTTTGGGGGTGGATTACGCGCCTGCGCTGACGGGGTTTGAGTTCCGCGGGCGGCATGGCACGGCGGTGTTGAATGGTGTGGTGGTGCCGGAGGAGGCGGGGGAGGGGGTGTGGGCGGTGATTGGGGGGTTGGAGGATATGGAGGCGGAGGAGGAGCAGGAGAGACGGTCGAGGCGGGCGTTGAGGATGTGGAGTCGGTTTTTGAAGGCGCTGCGGATTAGGGAGCGGATTTGGGCTGGGGTGGATGAGGAGGCGGAGGAGGAGGTAGACCAGCCTAAGGGCAAGGGGAAGGGGAAGGCAGTGGAGGAGGACGACGACGTGGGTATGGAGGATGCGAGTGAGGACGATATGGGAGGAGGCGGCTTTTTTGTGCCGGATGAAGACGATGATGATGATGATGATGGCGGAGGTGGTGGGTTTATCGTGGAATAAGACGTGTCTGAAGGGAACAAAAACCTCTAAGAGCGGTGGTATTTAGGGGCGGACTATAACTGTGATGATAGACTTAGCATGAACTAAAGATATAGGTCTATTTGTTTTAACAATTGAGAGGGAGAGGCGTCACTAGGCTCGTAGTGTTTGTCCTACTCGTCCCTATGTGGTATGTAGATGCCATATTGACGAGTTGGCCCAGCCACGGAGGAGCCATCTTACCGATGGGCAAAACTGGTTTATGGATCCCCGCTCAGTTGCGGTTTCTTTTCCAAAATCAAACCACCTGGTGCGTACACAGCTTAGGAACACCACCCACCCACCAGATACCTATACCAACTTACCATCTGGAGAAAGCAGGCAAAATGGCCGGCAAACAACCAACCCCAGCACCCGCAACACCGGTGCCAATCAGCTGGCCATCCCACATACCTTACCTTACAGCGCCCTCTTACTCACCACACCTAACCCCCGCCCACCTCCGGGCTCTCCGCACCCGCGCAGCGGACCCATCAGACCCGCTCCCGGAAATCTCCCGCGACCTCAAGCCGGGCCCGTGTCCGTCAGTCCGCATCACCCCGATCACCGACCCGGCCCGTAAGCTCTGCCCTTCCTTTTTTTATGTCTCAAACCCCAACAAACCAAAAACTAACAACCCCTCAGACCCCGCACACGGCCAAGCCGGCCTCTTCGCAACACGCGACCTCGCACCCGGCGCACTAATCCTCCCATACCTCGGCGAAGTGCACGTCGGCACGGCGCCGTTCGGCCGCCCACCCCAAGGCGGCGGTGGCGGTGGCGACGATTACGACTACGCCGGGTCGGACTACGACCTGTGGCTGGACCGGGAGGGGGACCTGGCGGGTGGACGCGGCGCGCGCGGGGAACGAGGCGAGGTTTGTGAATGACTATCGGGGGGTTCCGGGGAGGGGGGGGAGGAAGGCGAATGCCGAGTTTAGGGTCGATATGGGATGTCGCCGGTGGGAGATCAGTCGGCCGGTATCTTGTGACCGAGCAAGGAAGGAGGACACGAATAGGGCGAAGCCGCTAAAAACAGCTAGGGGGGAAGAGGTGTTGGGTAGTTATGGGAGGGGGTTTTGGCACGGGAGGAGGGACCAGGAGGAGGCAGTTGGTGGTGGTTACGGTGGTGGGGGGTGGGAAGGAGGGGAGGTGTGAGTTGTGAATTGTAGGTAGTGAGACAGGACTATATATCTTTCTATGTCTGTCCTGGGAATTTGATGTTCACCAGACATTTGTTCATTTTCTATCCTCGTACTACGCGGTACCTCGCATAACCTAGATCCAGCCGGTCAGGCTTCGGTCGTGATTTCTAGATACATCCTGAATTCAAAGACTGACCCAGAAGTGCCAGGTTATGAGGAAATGGGAAGAAGAGGAGCTTTTATCAATGGATGGCTCCGGCCGCGATCTCAGCCCTGGCGACCTGAAACCTAGGCCTTCCATTCTCAGAATGCCCCACGATCACAGCACCTTTTCAGGGGCACGAAGCTCCCAACGACCCCGCCATGACGACAGCGGGGCTGCAGCGGCTGTGCCCCACTACCCGCTCGGCAGGTTGGGCTGAGACGTCAACTGTAGCTCCCTTCCGGCCCATTCTTTACACAACAGCAAACCGCCATCAATCAACCTCGACCGAAACTTCATCTTCCAACTTCGTGCCATCAAGCAATCACAAACAACCTCTGAAAATGGACCCGCCTCCACCACCATCGTCAATCCCCCAACCCCAACCACAAGCCCACCCCACACCCTCCTCATCTTCCACACTCCCCGCAAAACCACCGCCGTGCTTCCGTCACCTCACCATCCTCCCCCCCTCACAAGCCCACCCCTTCACAAACCCCAAAAGAAAATCACCCCCGGAACCGACCTGCTGCACTTCCTCTCCTCACGTGGAAAAAGAGAAAAAGGCACCTGCACTCCTGCAACTCAACCGCGCCCTATGCCGCGCAAGACCACGGCGGCATCTCAGAAGTAATTAGAATCTTC